AAAAAAAAAAAAAACAAACCCTTTAACCGATCGTCAACCTTGGTCGGCATCGGAAGGCTGAAGTTTTTCACAACGAGTGCTTCTCGATGCAGGTACAAGTCTCGCGATGAGTTTTGCGCCGATGTCAGGCAGATGTTCATCAACTGCGAGGTATTCAACGAGGACGACAGTCCTGTGGGCAAGGCCGGCCATGGGATGCGCAGTTTCTTCGAAATGCGCTGGACCGAGATCACCGGCGCACCGCCCCCGCACCCGCAAACGCATAGCTGAGGCTCGGTACGTTCGCGCAACACCTGCAACAGCTTCGCCCACTTCTACTACTAGGATAACTTTGCACCGCGTCGCTGCGACAAGCCGACAGTTGTCGAGAGGGGACTGATCCACCCTTGCATTCACACTTTCGAGCATTAGTCGACCTCGTTTTAGCGGCCGATCGAGAACTTTTCCATTGTAAGAAATAATCGTTGCGAACGCGGGTACACTCGCCTACCGTATCATTCATTCTTCATCGTTGTCGCCGTGCATGGGCGCATCTTTCCCGCGTTTCGTAAGATGCTCCATATATATATATATATATACTCGGGTACGCATTGTGTGACACGAGTGTATCTCGTACTTTTAGTCTCCTATCAGCACCCACGGCGTGGTCAAACTTATTCATTGTAAAGTATTACACCGAGACACCGTTCACGGCCGATCGGATACTCGGCTTCGGTTTTAACGAGAATCTTTGCGAGAAGGCTTCGCAGTGTTTGATCTTCGGTCTCTGCGGTAACGAGAGCTTCTCGACGTCGACGTGATTAATCAGATAAGAGACATGCGTTGTTTCGATTCCCGCCGATTGGGGTGAAGCAATGCGAGTGGTCATTGTACTTACCGATAAACAAGTGAATATTTGCCTAAGCGATTAAAGTGTAATTTGCGATTGTATTATACAGGCTTAATGCCGACGCGTCGTCGGCGAAAGAAATATTTTGCAAAGTAATTAATGTGAAAAAAAGAGAGAAGTTATATATATATACATAAATATATATATATATATAAATATATAAATATGAATATAGTGTACATGTATTGTACACGTCACACATACATACACTCATACATACACCTTTGCCCACGGATGAGCACGATAAGGGTATTATTCGCTGTAGAAGTAGAATAGACAAAACGATGGACGAAGTTAATGTTTGAATTGAAGAAAGGATCTTAACACCGTTTCGTATAATCATTTTCAGTCCTTACATTTGCTTTTAGCATTGGATTTCGTTAATTCGCGAGTATACGAAGAAAAAGGGCACACGAAGTACGCAGAGCGAAATTCGTAATACGACAAAGAGGAAGCAGATATTCCTATTTTCACATATCGATATTTTAGAACAAGAATATACGTCTGACCGCTATATAGATTCGCGAATGTGGCAAATTAATAGATATAGCCTGTCGCGATCATGATTTCTTTTTTCAAGTGAGGAAATTTACGCGATTCTTTTAACGTAACCGGCGATTATTATTTATAAACACGTGTCGAGCCTTGCATATTCTGCATATTAATTATACGTTTAAAAAGATGTTATCGTTCGTAGAGAAATGTCAAGTCTTTAGAATTCTCCGCCTGCTTGATTTTACGCATCGCAATGCAAGAAAATGTCGTTCCGAATAGTATTTTCACACATTGTGTATACAAATTCGAAATTATTCACTGCCGTTAAAGAGATTCGTAAGAGTTGCATCGCATTGAGATCAACAGCCCAAGATACTTATTTAAATATAGAAGAGATTATTAATTAATCATCCGTGAATGACAGCGATTCTTCTGGTTTCATCATTTTTCGTTTATCAAATGTCGCAGAAGTTCCGAATCGACACACACACATACGAAATTAGACGTTCAGGGATGAACATTGCGAGAAACTGTGTTGTCTATTTGTCAAATTAATTCTCACGTCTGATAATGCACTTAACATAAAACGCGCCATTCGCATATAACGCAAGTAAAAAGTGCATTGTACGGACGTCTTTGAGGAAATAAACTCTTTTCAACAGCAACAGATGCGATTGTATATTTTGGTTTGTCATAGAAAATCACTACATTCGTATTCGTCATGGTGTGTAGTATTATTACAATGTAAGCACTATCGCAATTTTAGGCGCGCCGAGTTTAACGACAGAATCTTGCATTCTCTCCCATTAGCGCAGAGTTTTCTAAGAAATAACGATCGTCAACGTATGTTAGGATCGAGATTTTTCAAACGATATATTGTCATCGTAGAATAAACGCGAAGAGATAATACATTGCGATGCGAGTATGTCGGATTGTAGCAAGTTTCTTCGATTATAATAAGCCGTGATACCTTTGTAAGTGTGACCATTTTACGCGAGACGGTGTGAACGATGTAACGGGAGCGTTACTGCTCCTGCTCTTGTTTTGTATGTAATTGATGTACATTATTCCTCGTAATAGCGAATAGTTGATAATAATGAGAGAGAGAGAGAGAGAAAGAAAGAGAGAGAAAGAGAGCGAAAGAAAGAGAGCCGAAGGAAGAGAAAGTTCAGCCGTAGCGTGACGTGCTAAATGATTACGGTTTAAAGAAGTAAAGAGAAACATTCGCGTAGTGTGTACAAGTATTAGTTAGAGTATAAATGCCAGCGGAGGAGCTATTACGAAATAAAGATAATTAATATCGTTCAAGATGCGACTGAAACGCAGCGACGCTGTCACGAATCGTCGCGACGTTGTAATTTAGGAAACGAACAGACGGTAAGATCGCTAACGAGACTGCGCGATTATACTGTGACTTTTGTGACGTTTTAAAATGCGTTCGAGTATCGGCACACACATAGTCTGTTAGTTTCATCCTAAAAAAACTTGTTGACATATTGTAGTTTGGCAAAAGTTATAAAAAAAAAAAATACATAAGCGACTTTATGAGTTTAAGAATCTATAAATTTAATATTAGCGGTTATCCATATTCATGTACGATGTGTAGCATCAAAAATTCTGCCGGTGTTATCACCGTTGAAAGATTCGTCGTAGCGTCTTAATTTGCGGAAGTTGTGACAAGCTTCCAAAGTTCCACGCTTGTTTTTTTAATTTTTATTTTTCTCTGTATTTATAATCCACGTAGAAGGAGAAGATAATCGTTAAATTCCATCGAGGATATGACGACAGCCGACTGCAAATCTCTTCGCGTATACATATATAACTGATGTAAAGTAGGAAAGCGCAGATTGTGGGGCATTTTGTCGATCTTACCGATTGTTCTTAGAGAGACACGCCGTGCCGCTTGGAGCACCGCGCCTCGCACCGTCATACAGTAGCCGATGCGTTTAGACATCTCATACATTCAAACGACAAACAACCGACACAACAATAAAAACAAATAATTTTTTAAAATTTAATTATTATTTAAATAGTACAGTTACATTGTTAGTACGAATAACGACGCTTTTTATACGAATTTTAGTTTTTAAACGTCGATCTTACGATATATATAGTATATATATAAATATAAATATATATATATAGTATATAATGATAATGAGAGACAATGTAATAGTAATAATAAATGATATTGATTGACGGAGCAGATAAAAAAGAAACGAAGGAGGTGCATGGAAGGAGAGAAAGAAAACGAACGAGAATGAAAGGAAATGAGAAAAAGGCAAATGCATGCATGCGAATGAAAGTATGAGAGAGAGAGAGAGAGAGAGAGAGAGAGAGAAAGAAGAGAGAGAGAGAGAAAGAAAGAGAGCGAGAGAGAGCGAGAGAGAGAGAGAGGTTTAAGTTAGATGATTGTTTGTCTATAGTATATACAAAGGCATACGTTAGGTAGCCTCGATGCTATTTAAACAGACTTAATTAATGTATTGCAAATGAATTAATAAAGTGTAAGCGAAGCGTGTATCTATATAGTATGATTTTTTCTTTTAATAACAAAAAGTTTTGACGAACAATTGAAATCTCCTAACACTTAAATCATATCTAAATAATATATAAAAGTACTGCATACACTGATTGTGAATGATATATTGAAATAGTTTTATAAACTTTAATTACTAAAATAATTTTGCAAATTTTCCAAGTATATTTTTATTTTTGTTTTTAATTTTATCAAAAATTAGCCACACATGTTTTTCATTGAAAAAACTTTTTTTATTTTAGTCATTAAATTGACTAATTATTTATGCATGCATATAATAGTATTCTAACTTATCTTTTTCATCTTTTTGCATTTTAAAGGTAAGTTTTTAATAGATAAAAATATTACAAATTAAAATAAAGAAATATTTTTGCGGAATAAAATATCCGAAAGTTAATCCCGACAATTGATTAAAAACGTGATTTATTAATCTGTAATTACTTATAAAATTAATACAATAATTAATTACAATTTTTATTTGGAAAATACATTTAATAGATTACAAAAAAAGAAACAATTATCAAATATAATTTATAATTAAAAATATTTTTATTGGATTTTCAAAATTGTTACGTAATAATTTTTTTTTTTTTATCGGCGCTGGTGACGTCGAAACTTTGAGCATTTCGCGAATTTACGATGCCCGAAAGGAAACGTGAGATGGGCTAGGACAAACTCGAGAATTTGACTGAGTAACTCGTTTATTCCGAACTAAGATACAGAGAGAACCTAGGTGCAATCGAGACCAGTCGATTTTCACTCGAAGCGATTTCATTAGAGAGGAGCATACAATAGCCGATGAGAGTCGGTATTATGATAGTGCACGAGGTAATGTAAACAGGTATGAACGAATATAAGAAATGTAGCAAACACATCTTCTGGCGATCACTTCGTAGAGAGAGAGTACGTTAAACTTCGTCTCGAGATAATTTGATGATTAATTAATTAAATGATTTTTATTTAGATTTTATATTTTATAATTTTGGATTTTATATTTTAGTTATCCATTCTGGTGTTGTTTTTCGCAGCATTAAAGTTTCCCAATCTTTACAAACCTCTGTATAATTAGATGAATTTTTGATGAATTTTAAAATAGAATACAGATCTAATTTTGTTTCTTGTATGGGCGTGCTAGTGACAGCCCATCGTTTACTCGCTATGAGTTTATAAGTTGCATTATGTGTTTCATTATTGTAATTTCTTATTGTATGTGCTTCATTTAATATTATTCTTTCCCAATAAATCTGCAAAAAAATTTTAATTTACGATTAAACTAAAAACTCAGAGTACATTTGTCTATATATATATATATATATATATAAAGTTTCTATCAGTTTAGTTAACATTTTCGAGTTTCCACATACAATTCTTTATACAATGTAGATTTGGTATCTTTTATTTTTTTTGTGTTTTTGTAACATTATACCATACGTTGTAATTACTACATTTTTTTGCCAAGCTTTTAGGATCGCGTTTTCTTTTATTGCCGTGATGTACATCAAGGGACAACGAACTATACTTACTCTTCACTTCGTCTTTTCAATGAGACCATGAAGACTTAGGACTTAGGACAGACTATCAAAGTCCCACCTCTGCAATCTGCAAATTGTAATCAAATATAATTTTTTTAATACATTATTTTAGATATATATTTATATTACAATATAAATAATTCGAAAGATTTGAAGAAAAAACAAATATTGAAAAATCAAGATGTTTTTATTTAGATCTTAAAAAATTAACTTCTACGTACGTTTGCACTTACTATTAAATTTATCACTGTTTTTTATATGTAAAACCTAAGATGGACATTTCGTTAACAATACACTCAAAAAAATATTTCGCTGATGTAGTTAGATTTCTAGATATCGCAACAAGAATGTATCGCTATTTTTCGTATCTGTGAAAACATTGTTTGTCACATAGAATTTATAGCAGTAATGTTCTAGCAATAGCTTCTGAAAAATTTAGGTACCATTGCTAAATGTTATTCATTGCATGATCTAACACGTGATTGATCTTATATAGATAGGCGCTTTAAAGTAAACTTTTTTTTAAAGTTCACAAACAATACAGATATATATTCTGTTTCTGTCATCTAAACTGATTAAGTAATTACATATGCAATATCACAACAGTTGCTAATCATTTATCTGTTTTAGTTAATTTTTTACACCTAGAAATTTTAGCTATTATTGCAAGATCATTTTTTTGAGTGTACTTAGTTCATTTTTCTACACTCAAAAAATATTTCGCTGATGTAGTTAGATTTCTAGATATCGCAACAAGAATGTATCGCTATTTTTCGTGTCTGTGAAACATTGTTTGTCACATATAGATTTATAGCAGTAATGTTCCAGCAATAGCTTCTGAAAAATTTAGGTACCATTGCTAAATGTTATTCATTGCATGATCTAACACGTGATTGATCTTATATAGATAGGCGCTTTAGAGAAACTTTCTTTTTAAAGTTCACAAACAATACAGATATATATTCTGTTTCTGTCATCTAAACTGATTAAGTAATTACATATGCAATATCACAACAGTTGCTAATCATTTATCTGTTTTAGTTAATTTTTTACACCTAGAAAATTTTAGCTATTATTGCAAGATCATTTTTTTGAGTGTATATAACAATTTTTCAATGGTATACACAGTCCGTTTGAAGTGATGAAACGCGTTCTGACGAACCAACTGTCTCATGAGTCTCTTCAATTTGTATTTTTTAATTTAGTCCGAATGTGTCATTTTTATATGAGAAATCAGCCCGTGGTGAATACCAAGAGCGAAATTCTTGTGACAAATATTGCACTCCAATACTAAATCATCTCTTTTTGTCAAATATTTATATGGCCAACTGCGAAGGATATGATTCTTTCGTTGTTTTTCAGAATGCGAACTCAAGTGATTTTCTATAAATTCTGATGTAGACCGAACATTTGCATCACAGATAATACATTGTGAATATAATTTGTTTAAATATTTGAAAAACATTCATGGCCCTTTTATTATTGTTTTCTCTTCTTCGTATTTCCAAATTTTTATATAATACATATGTGGTTTTATGTCTCCATCTCTTAAATATACATATTTATTTTCGCAAAACTTGCACTGTGCTTCAAAATCCGATAATTTCACATAATATTCCCACACATATTTTTTATTTGTAATATTTAGTGATGTAGACATTATGTCCGTTTGAAGTGACTAAACGCGTGTAAGTGAATACGATGAACTAGCACGAACTGATACAAAAACTTTTCTGTCGATGAGTATAGTAGAAAATGAAAGAAGACGCTTAATTATTTTCCACTTGAATGTAAATATTAATTTGTCGGTCAATTCTAGCTAAGAACGATCAAAACACGCAGTAACATCTCATGCCGAGTATGTATACACGGAGAAAATTTTATATCAAAAATTACTATTTATTGCATTAACCGCGCACCATGAAGTTGCGAACCGAAAATTTTTACTATATGTCACATGTAAAAAATATAGTAAAAATTTTTATAATTCCTTCATGATCCGTGGCTACTGCCGTACACAATAATTTTTTATATGAAGTTTTCTTCGTGTAGTGATAACATCTCAGCGAAATAGACGTTACAGCGCGTATAATAGTTAACCATTATGTCTTTGACTTCAGAAAAGATTTAAACAAAGAATTTGGAAGTGTATCAAAGAAGACACTTTGAATATTTTTTATAAAACACAAAACAATAACCGCAAACCGTATAAATCATATGTAAAAAATAATGTTTAAGCAAAAAAATTAATATTGCGGAAAAAGGGAAAAATGAAAATCATCCATGTCTTTTTTAGATAAAATATTGATAAACACTGCAATTTATTTCATCAACAGCTTATCTATTCCACTATTATCTACAAGTAATAATATATGCAATAATTTCGGTAATACATCTCATAATAGTGCACTCGTATAATGTAAAGTACATTGTTACATTCCATGCTAATGAATGAAAC